CTTAAAGTTGAGAGCTTTGACCTTTTTCCTTAAAGGAAGCACTTTACAACGTCTCTTTGGTATATTGAAATTGTCACATCACTACACTTTAGAACCATTGTTTAGTGAAATTTATGAATTGTTTAATATCTGGGGTTGAATATGTATAAATAAAACTGAAAAGCAAAACCATTGTTTTGTTTTTTTTCTCTAGATTGACACTGAAAATGTGAATATTAGTTGAGCATCTCATGAAATGATGGCACAAGGATGTCAAATAATAAAGAAAGGTTTGAATAATTTCAAAATATGATTCTCTCTGTACAGAATAAACAGATACTATTCTTTAAAACAAAATTCATATTGTTATTGGATGTGAATGTTTCTTATAGCATATTAGATTATTGGAGAGGTACCTTACTAAATAATTCTCCTCCAAGGCATCTCTTCAGGAATGCTTAATATTATGCATTTCCTCATCAAGTGAATTCATGTTTTATTCCCAACAAAATTCATGTAAAGTGAATACAAAAGTTCCCAGCCAGCATTTGAACCCTGATTGCCATTTTCATTTTCACTGCTCTTAACTGTTAGGCCACCCATAAAAGTTACTAAGACAAAATTTTTTTTTTTTCTAATCAGGCCATTTCATTTTTTCTGACAATGTACTAATCATTGGGTGTAGTTGATGTGCCTGGCATTAATTAGTAATATTGGTAGTGTGAATATTACTAATATCTTTTGAGGGAAAATCTGAATTAGCACCATTTTAAATCTAATCAAATGAATGCTACTTTGTGCTGGGAATGAACCTTACCATTTATGATTACTATTGTATTTGAGAAAACCTAAGTTACACTGGCCAAAAACCATCAGTGAGTGATCATAATACTATTTCATATTTTTTAATTCAACATATGATCTTTATCTGTAACAGTGTCCACTTTGGATATATTTAAGTCATTATAGAACTCTGAAATTCTATACCGTCAGTGAATCACTTTAGTCAGAAATCACAGATATTATATCTTAGTTATTATTTTTCTGTCAGGTAAAATGATGAGGATACAATTTGATGATAACTGCTTTTTGAAAAACCTGTTACATTGCCTTGGTCATTTGACTTTCTCCAATTCTATCAAAGTTGAATATGCTTGTTAATATCCTTTGTTCATTTTGCTGGGCTTCTTCATTTTGAAAGACATTTGACAGGGCAGCCATATTTGTTTATTACTGCACAAGATTAAATCATTTGTTTTCCAGAGATGCATAGCAAATAACATTTTCACTAAGAGTAGAAAACTAAGTTATATCATCTATAATTATTTGAAGATAAAAAAAAAAGTCTTTTATTTCACTTTTGGTTTTTCATTCATATTTTTCTTTTGCTCTTGTGTTTCTGTTTTAGTTGTTTGTAGCTGTGTTGCTTACCTAGAATTATCAGCTCGCCATTTTCTTTATTAAAATATTACAATTATAATTTGTATTTTCATTGTTAAAATTTTGCTTAATATTGAAAAAAGCTTATTGGTTCAGAAATTTACTGTTTTTGTTCCTAATGTTCTAATTTTAAAGTATATGTAAATTTATAATCCTTTCACTGCTGATAAGCATTTTCTTAATCTGAAAAAAATCATCCTAAAGATGATACTGAAAAAAATGAAAATTATAGTTAATATCCAAAAATCAATAAAAACCCAATCCTTTCCTAACTTATTTTTGGAAGTTTAATTATGTGTTTTAAAGTAATACAGAAATTGTCTTCCAAAAACAAAAGTTTGTTTAACTGTGAGACTCCAGTGTTTTTCTAGAAAGCCAAGAGCTGATAAGCATAGAAGCAACAATGCTAAATTGTATTCACCAATGGCAGAAAATTGAGAAACTCTGGTTTAAAATTTGAGGATGCAGACAGGAAACTTGGTTTCAGCTGATGCATTGGATTTATAAGAAATATTACAAAGTTTTCAATCACCATATGAATACATAGAAACTCTTTGAAGAAACTAGAACAAGAATTCCTTAAATAAGGGATTCAAGGAAATGATGAAATGTTCTGAAGAAATAGAATGAAGTTTTTCTGGTGAGCTTGTAAAATCTAAAATTAATATCTTTAATCTCTAAGTTATAAATTCTCTTTTTTTTATCAGTTTTCTCTTTTACTAGATTTTCTTTGCTAATGATCCTGTGCCAGATTAGTTTCAACTTAATCAATGTTTTGATGCCCGCCTGAAAGAAATGGCCGGTCTTGTAGAGTATGGAATAGCAGGTTTTAATCTTACTTGGTTCTCTAAATGTTATGACACTGTGCCAGAGTAGGCTTAACTGAATAAATATTCATATGCCTGGTGATAAAAAAAAAAAATCTTTTTTCCTTTTTTTCATCTCCTTCTATCCATTTGATTGGTTGCCCTTTCTGATCTCTAACAAAAAGATTTCTGGTCAGAGATAATCTGTTATAAATAAAAGCACTGTCTGTTCACCCACTCGCCATTAAGCCAAAAAAAAAAAAAAAAATCTATTGTGATTTTTTGGAAGTTGATGGGTGATGTCAGCTTTGTGAATTCTTGTCTACTCTGATTTATTTTTAGAAAGACATAGCTATGCCATGAAGAGAATTTACAAATTACTAATATTAGTTTTCTAGGCAGATAATGGTAGATTAAAAAAAAAAAACTCGCAAATCCTATTTTATCCAATGCCCACTGAAACTTGTAGGAAGGTGTGTACTTACATTTTGTCTCAGAGTCAGAACAATGAGATGCCATAGACAAAATATTTTTTTTTATTGCTATTTGTGATAACCAATAAAAATATGAAACTGAACATGATGTCTTAATATGGACAAGTTTATCTTTCATCCAAAGTTGTTCATTTTTGCCTTTTGGGAAGACATGAATCCATTTTTCCTTCTGCTCTGTCTTATTGCTGCATTGCTTGTCTAAAAGTCTTGTCATTGGCATAGAGATGATTGAGAAAAGAGGGTGGATGTTTGAGTACTTTGACAGTCTACCCTCTTATCACTCCCTCATGTGACAACTCAAATCTGTTACCTCCATATCAACCATGACAGGGTCCAATCAATTTTTGTTGTTTGCTGTGGATTTCTTCCTGTTTTTCAAGAAATTAAAAAAGGAAAATAGCAAAGCAAACAATGTAAAAATTGTTGGTATTTTTTTAAAAACATTGTATTATCTTTAATTTTAATTTCTCAAATCTACATCAGTGAGTCAAGTGCAGATCGGAAATGATGGATAAACTCCTAAGACTCCTGTCTGTTTTTTGCCTCAGGGCAACCTGCTTAAATACACCAACTATTCTTACCAACTGAACCATAAGAAATCAACAATTTGGCAGAATTATAACTAATAAACCTACACTTTACACACCCTCCCAATCTGGCCTATTTATGTGGCCCCTCTATCTCTCTCTCTCTTTTACACACTGAATATATCATTCTTTTAAAAAAGTCATAAAAAAGTCAGCAATATACAGGTTGATTTTTCACTGAGATCAGTTCTGGTTTAGTCAGGAAAGATTATCCTTTTGGATGCTGACCATTGAGTTTTGTATAGTGTTTCTTGAACCAATCTTTCCTTCTACCCCTTATCAATTATAGATTTTGTTTGTTTATTTCCAAACGTGTTTTTCCCCCTTTTGCTTTTCACTGCTGTCTTCACAATTGATAGCATACATTCTAGTAGTGCTGTCATTTTTAATTAATTTTGTTTTTGTTTTTTTTTGACAGATGAGAACAAATGTTTCCATGTTATCTTCTCTGCCTCCCTACAAGCTTTAGTCCTCTTCCCACACAATCTCGTTTTATTACAGTTTTTATTTTGTTTGTAATTCTTAAAAGAGCTGTAAAATAATTACTTCTTGTCTTTTCAAATGTTTTTATCTTGGACTTCTCCCAACATTAATTTCTTTTTTGGAAAAAATGAAGCTGATGTTGTAATAAATGATTAAAATTTATTTTCTCCTTGTGTCAAATCTTCACACATTGGGACTTTTTATAAATTTATATCTTATTCATATTTTTCTTACTTTACTTGGTTTTTTAAATCTTTCATTTTGTCTAGTGAACCAATGATGCTTTTCAGCTGTCATAAGTTGAAGAGATTCACTTTCTAACTATTGTTATGTTCAAATGCCTTGACGTAATTTGTTTGTCACAAGACAACAAGTGAGAAGTGCCTTCAAACTAACAGGACAAACATAGTAACCATTTTGAGACATCAGTTAATAAAATAAAGAAGAAATGATGTAAGAATGGGATAGACTCTATTACTGACGTTTATTTACCATGTACTCTTCATCTACAAATCTTTCATTTCTTTATTGACAATGAACAGCATATGTTTATTTTTCAACCTGTAATGTTTTGTACACAAAGCTGGACTGAGATACATACAAGAACTTGAAAAAAAACAAGAGACATGTTTGAAGAATTGAAAAATGTAAAGTTTAATATCATTTTTTAGTGAATCTTCTTTTTTTTCCAAAAATATTTGCAACTGTTACATTATTTAGTGTACAGAAGTTCAAAAAGGAAATAATTTAATAATTCTTTGACTACAATCAATTAACACTCAGTATCAGTTTAAGAAGCCAATTTTATCCTTTTTTTATAATTACTTTAGTTTCATAGATTCATTGGGTGCAATTAAACATTTTATGACATCAAACAAAAAAATAATAAAAATAAAAAAAGCAATGAATTATCATTTAAATAATTTCTAATTAATTTCTTTTTTATACTCTTAATAATCTTGTAGTATAAAAAATAAAATTATTTATACTACTAAGCTTGATAAAAACCTATAGAATAAGAAAATTATATTTTTAAACTATAAGGTTGAAGATAATTCAATTTTAAACACAATACCAATTTCTATATTGCATTTTTGAAACATCATACTTTAAAGTTAAACTTTATGCATAATTTTTAAAAGTTGTGGGGTTGTGATAGCAAAAAAGTACTGCTACACTTTGACCTTGATGACAAGACTTATGGCCACATAATGTTGAAACATTGGTTCCCATACGATCACCAAAGTTAAGCAACATCAGGTCTGGTCAGTACCTAAACGGGTGATTACTTGGGAATACCACATGCTGTAAGCTTGGATGTGCAGGTGGTGTAATGGATAATGACTTGGAATTCTTAATCAGAGAGCCAAGTTCCAATTCCCGTTTGGTTTGGTTTGGTATATTCACTTATGTGCAAATACCCTTGGGAAAGATATGAATCCACTTTTTCTTCCCCTAGATATAGGTTAGTGAGACTTGTATCACAAAATCATTATCTCCAAATTCTTACAATCTAAAAAAAAAATGTTCTTTTTTCTAGCTTTAAATAACCTGCAAAGAGTTGATAAGCTGTAAAAAATGAATGAAACAATCTCGATGACAACTCACGGGCTACTGTATATAAATAATTATTATTTTCGCCATATTTTAACTAAAAAGTATGCATTAAAATCCAGTTAATCCTTAAATTTGTTAACTTACTGTGAAACAAATTTCAAGGCCAAATAATGAATTTTTAAGAGATTTTAAAATTTTTCGTCTATAATATAGGTTTGATGAGTGACTGTACCAATGTTTTAAAAATGCCTAAAAATTTTATATTGAAGACATGTAAATTATACAGAATGAATTTTAAAAAAAAAGATTTTTTTATCTGTGGTGATACCTAGCTTAGGACCTCATTTAATATCCTCTGATGACAGTCAAGTAAACTTCTTGTAGATGCTTTATTTAAAAAATAATTTAAAAAAAAATATTTTAATAATTAAAAAAAGAACTCGTTGTCTGTGAGCCAAGTTCAATTGCTGGGTAAAAAAATTTTAAAATCGGATATTTATTTTCAGAAAGTAAGTGCATGTAACCCACTGTGTAAGAAGTCATATGAAAAATACAAAGCTTAATTCATCTGTTCTAGATGAAGAAAAAACATATTCCTTAATTTTTTTTAGTTCAAAATATCGGAGAGAAGGATTTTTTTTTTAACATGGAGGTGGGTATTTTTATGAAGTCTTGATATCGATAATTTGGCAATTTTGATTTTTGAGTAAGGGGGCATATCTGTACAAAAAAAAAAAAAATAGTGGGCATATCTATCAAATTTATTTCCTTGACGAATACGTGAACCATTTTTTTTATTTTTTCAACTACCCAGTAATCTTTAAAATTTAGTAATCTAATACTAATATTTTATGTACTTTTTGGCTTTACGTTCACTGGTTGACGCAAGAGAAATATCAATTTTTTAGTTTTAACCTAACTTTCGAAAGTTCTGAATTTTAGAATCTTAAAAAAAAAGGATTAAAAAAATAATGATTCCAAAATTCTTTGGTCGTTCTTTGTAATAAATAGCAACAAAGATTTTGACGATGAAACTTTGTTTTAAAGGTTTTTTTTTTGTTTTTGATTTTTTTTTGAAGGGGGGTATTTTTTCATCATGTATGCTTATTTTTTTTTTAGCGAATTTTAGAGAGGTACCTGAAAAAAATCTAATCATATAAAAAAGCCTGACTCTTCAAAAATCCTATTTTACATTTAAAAACTATTCGAAGTAATTGCTTCTATAAGCAACAATACAATGCAATAAATGATTGATTTGAAAAGAAAATGGATTGTCCGTCAAATTAAAACGATTCTTGATAGTTGTGTTCTACTTTTTTTTTTTTTTTTTTTTTTGTAACATAAGTCTACCTACATTTTTACCAATTTATTTTTTGTTGCGATGACTTAAATAAAACTAAAAAGAACCTTCGGAATATTACCAAAAATTACCCTATTCTTAGTGTTAAGGGCCGGGTTACACGAAAGGTTGGTTTCTTTTTCTCTCTCTCTATTCAATATGTGTACTTAGACTTAGTGTGGTTTTTAAAAAGTCATCAACAGACCGCTTGCTTTTAAAATGAGTCAGTATGTGGAGTGAGGGCGGAGATGGCGGGGGAGGAGGCCCGATTTTCTGGCTGGCTCTGCGCCGGCGACCAGCCTGTCTTAGTGTGCCTATCTGACCCTGACCTAGTGTAACCAGCAGGCCTTTCTTAATCTCTTCTTTCCTTGACATTGTTTGCTCAGATATTACACTACTTTCCTACATTTTCTCTCTCTGTCTCGATCTTCTTCTTCGTTGCTATCTTTTCCTCTTCATTGAAACAACCTGATGCTCTCCCCCCCCCCAAGCCTCAGTATTTATCCTCAATGGGGTTTGGGTGGTTACTGCCCACTCAGCTGGCTACAATCTGTTTCTTTTTATTTCGGGTTGTCTGTCTGCCCGCCCTCTCACTGTCTTCCTCTTTCTCACATTCATACACATGTTTCTTTTGCTTCTGTCGCACTTTTCTAATTTCGAAAATAACTAAAAAAACGATTATTTTATTTCTTTTTTTAGTCCTTTTCTGCCCCAAAAGTGGACTTGGCAACTAATATTTTTCTTTCCGACATTTGCGAGGACGATGACAAACAAAGAAAAATCTTAAGACGGATAGACATTTTAAAAATGTTATAAAAAATGAAACCAGGATTTCCTTCAAATCTTTTCCTTCTGGTGTACGCGTTGGTGCCATGTGCTATCCAAAAATATAGAATTTACTCATTCATTAAAAAGAAATTACCTAGCTTCTTCCGTCTCCTTCGAAATTAGTCTCTTTTCTTTGGACATAAACGACTCTCGTCTTTAGATTCAGTTTTAGCACACGCCATGCAAATTCCTGGAATTTTAGAGTAGCACCTCGTATGTGTGTGCATTTCTCGTCATCAGTCATTGCAAGTCAACTTGCTAGATGAAGAAGAGATTCTTTCCTATTCTACCATGATTATTCTCTCTCTGTCTCGATCTTCTTCTTCGTTGCTATCTTTTCCTCTTCATTGAAACAACCTGATGCTCTCCCCCCCCCCCAAAGCCTCAGTATTTATCCTCAATGGGGTTTGGGTGGTTACTGCCCACTCAGCTGATTATTCTCTGCCATGTTTTCTTACCAGGAAACTCCTCTATCTCATCTTTCCATCTGTCTGGTTTATCATATTCTCTCTCTCTCTCAACTTTAAAGGAGTGTTTTCATAATTTTAGCTAGAAGCACTTTCTTTTTGTAAGTATCACCAAAATGGATGTTGTTGATATTTTTTTTTTTTTTAAGATGGTAGCAAAATTAACATTACTCACTGTTTTTATTTACCCCAAATCGGAGTATTAAGATTTATGAAATTTTCAGAACTCATTAAAAATAGGTACCTCCACAGATTCGCTAAAAATGATGCTATGATTAAAAAAAAAAAAAAAATGGCCAAACTGAATAAAAAATTTTCTTCTCAAAATCTGTTATTAAGACCAAAGGATTTTTTGATCATTAAATTATATTTTTTGATCTTTTTTTACAATGCTTTAATTTTTTTTTCTTTGTTGCTTTGACAAAAGATTAGTATAGGAAATTTTAGTCTTTTTTTTTTCTTTTTCTTTTCTTTTTTTTTCTTTTTTTTTTCTTTTTTTTTTTTTTTTTTTTTTCTTTATTTTTTTATTTTTTTTTTTTTTTTTTTTTTCTTTTTTTTCTTTTTTTTTTTTTTTTTTTTTTTTTTTTTTTTCTGTACTGAAAAACATTGATTTAGAAATTCTTGCTTTAAACTTATTCACTAATGGATGAAATTATTTTATAAATGTTTCTTGTTTAGAAAATCTTGGTAAAAACTTCTTTTTTTTTTTACATCTGTTACCCACCCCCCACACTTATTTAATTTTATGAAATTTTGAGAAATTGATTTTGTAGAGTTTATCATTAATTAATTAGTGCTTAAATAATGTTTATATTAATTAGCTATATTCAGAACTCCTTGGAGAATGTAAATCCTCAATTTTCTTTTATAAAACGGCGCCCCAAGTTACTGAAAACATGCTCTAAAAATCATAAAATAAAAAATACAATAAAACTAAAACATTGTTTAATTAGAAAAGCTTTTGATTGCTTTTATGAATAATTTATTTTTTTAAGAAAAAAACTTTTTTGATGAATTGTTACAAGAATTGGTTTAATTTTTTTTAAATTTTAATAATTTATAGTTTTATCTTTTTAAATTTCTGTATTAATTTGTATCAGTTGGGTGATATTGTTAAGTAATAAAATCTATATTTACTAATCATAAATGGAAAAACTTACTATAATTCAGCACCCCTCCCCAGCATTTTAAACAAGAATATTGAATTTTTTTTGTCTGTGTATAAATATGCTTATTTTTTTGTATGGATGTTCATACTTTAAAGTTAAACTTTATGCATAATTTTTAAAAGTTGTGGGGTTGTGATAGCAAAAAAGTACTGCTACACTTTGACCTTGATGACAAGACTTATGGCCACATAATGTTGAAACATTGGTTCCCATACGATCACCAAAGTTAAGCAACATCAGGTCTGGTCAGTACCTAAACGGGTGATCTACAACTTTATCAGAAAAATAAGAGCAATAACCATAGTGTAGTGTACCAAAAATTCACTAAAACATATTATTGAGAATATTTTCATAAATTTTAAAGATTACTGAGTAGTTAAATTTATATAAAAATGACAGTCACATTATATTCTTGAATTAATTTTTACAGATATGTCCTCCATAGAAAAAAAATTAAATTCCAGCTGTCAAGTTGTCAATAAATTTGTCAACACCTAATAAAACAGCTCTGTGTCAAAAAAAAATGCATTTCTGTGATATTTTAAACTAAAAGTATGTAATATTTGTTTCAAATCAAATTAATTTAATTTTAAATCAGCTGATATGCCTTAAAGTTTCAGAAAAGTCTCTTGTATTTTTGATAAAGAGTGCTAAAATCAATGATTTCAGAGAGATTTCAAAACAAAATCTTTCAGTCAGTTTAAATTAGTTTTGAAATACAGCAGTATATTTTGCTTATTGGAAATATTCAATTTAACCTATTAGCTTAAAATTAAAAGCTTCAAGAAAGATTTTTCATTTTTAAAAATTCATTTTATACCTTAGGTATCATGTTTCTATACAGGTACCTATCATTAAATATCTCCAATAAAAATCTTATATCTTGTTGAAAAATATTAAAAATTTAAAAAGTAAGTTTTTGGAATTTTTTATTACTTTCATGACAAACATA